ATATATACCTTTTAAATACACTCTCTCTGAGAGCAGGCTTCCTGTGACAGAGCTTAAATAGGTGTGTTTCTCTACTGTGGGAAACCAAAAGTGGGCCACTGGCTGCAGAGGGTTACTGCTAAGCCCCATGATTTGGGAAGAGAAGAAAGTCCTCTATCATGCTTTCCCATTGACACTTGAGAGCAGAGACTTTGAAAAGCTGACTCAGTCCCTGAGGTAGAAATTGGATGTTGAATTGCATTGCATTTTAACATTTTATTTGGGTCCCTTCAGTATGTGTAAGGAGCCCTGGTGGTGCAGTGGATTAAGCATTGGTTTGCTACCATAAGCGTCAGTGGTTTGAGCCCACCAGCTACTCCATGAGAGAAAGATGAAGTAGTCCGCAGCTGTAAAGATTTGCAGTCTTGGAAATCGTAGGTAGCAGTTCCACTCTCGTTCTGTAGTGTTCCTATGATTTGGAATAGACTCAATGGCAATGGAATAGAGTTAGGTTCACTATGAGTAAGGGGTGCGACTGAAAGGAGGGTGATATTTCCACCTGTGTGTCAAATTATTTAACTTCTCTATCTCTCAGTGTTTTTATCAGTAAAATGGAGATTTAATGAGACCGACTTCATGACCTTGAAGTCCCTGGGTGATGCAAATGGTTTACACACCGCCACTAACTGAAAGGTTGGAGGTTTGAATTCAGCAAGAGATACCTTGGGAAAAAATCAACTATTGAAAACCCTAGGGGAAAAAGTTCTACTCTGTCACACATGGGGTCATCAGGAGTTGGATTAACTCCAAGGCCGATGGTTATCTCATGGGGTTTTTTTTTTTTTTTTTAAAGCTTTTATTGTGACTTGAGTGATAGTTTACATGGGAGAACATCGGGTTTGCACTCATCCTATGGTATTTCGTTTCATTGCAATGGTGACAACCCCCTCCATGATGCATCATCATTCAATAGAACTTGCTTCTATTCCTTCTGTTTTGTTTTGTTTTTATGTACACAAAAACACTCAGGAATATACAATCATTCAAACAACCACAGAGCACATTCTGTAAACCTGTCTCCTGGCCACCAGCACACAGCCTTTCCTCTTTCCATGAGTCTAGAGTCCTCAGTTGCTCTCTCTCTCCATGTCCTCATCTCTGCCTCCATCTCTGGTGTCGCTATTTCTCTGGATTGGGTCCTGCGTTACGCTTGTGCTCTTCTCACTTGATGGTCCTATGGTCTTTTGTTCCTGGAATGTTGGATTAACTACTCCATGCTTTATGTTACAAAACTTCTACCTTTACAGTTGTGACAATCAAAATTAGTCATGATAACAATTGTTGTTGTTGTTGTTAAGTGCCGTCGAGTCGGTTCCGACCCATAGCGACCCTGTACAGGGTTTCCGAGGGTGTAAATCTTTACGGGAGTAGA